TGTACTTAAGTACAGTAACGAAGTACTTGTACTTCGTTACTTCCCACCACTGGTTATCGGTTGTCAAAGCAAGCAGAAAATGCTTCTTTGTGATTTTGGATGGCTGCACTTCATGCTTGTAAAAAAACGCGAAACAACTAAAACTGGGAAAGGAAATCATGAAGGCCGAAACGAGTGGCTCTCTGCATTAATATGATTTTGAACAATGCTCTAAGAACCTGATTATTGTCGGATGCATAAATTGCCACCCTGATTACCCTTATGCGCTATCAAGAAATCTGCTTTGTGTGTACTAAATGTCATTAATACCCTGTTAGTACTCTATAATTTAAGGTATCAGGGGAAAAAAATGTTTTTTTTTTTACAGAGTTTGATGCAGTTTTTGGATAATATCACAAAAAAGCTCTTTTGGTATTCATATATTTTTTAATCACAAAGCCTATACATAGTTTGAGTTGCTGACTAAACTTAGCTCCCAAAACCTGCTGGTGAACTGTTTGTGATTGTCAGCCACTCTCCCAGTCAAAAACTTGCAATTTGTTTCAAGTTTAAAAAAAAAAAATCTATTTTATGCTGTCCAAATTTAGCTTTTCCCTAGAAATGTGTGTGTGTGTTTTTTTTTTTACACATTTCAGTTATTTGTGTTGGGGGAAAGCAGAGTGACGATCAGCTAAAATGCAACTTATGATGTCCAAAGCAAAGTGCTGGGCTTATGACTTTTTCTATAAATTGTATCAGCACACAGTTAAAAATGTTATGAGGCAAAATATCAATGAGTTACAACGGAATAATAAACATATTAGCAAAGTGTTCTGTATGAACTATTCTGGTATCAGAAAGTGCCTATTCGTTGAAAACTCTGAGTGTTAAAATCCAAGACAAAAAAATCCAGTTAAGGACATTTCTATCTTCTGGTAGCATGCACTGTCTTTGCGCTTAAAATTAAGTGATAAATATGAACATTATCTCACTTTCTTACAGCTTCTTTCGACAAAAAATCTAAGAAAATCCCACGCTAAGAGCCAATTTCAAGTATTTCAACTGGAAATGCAAGTTTACACAGAAAGAAAATGCGAAAAGCTACGGATCTTGTGCCTTTTTTTGTGTGCCAAACTTTAACAGCGGTATTCTGAGACAGATCCGGCTCAGTGCTCTCTTGTCTTTACAATCATAATCCGAGCTCAAACACTCACAGTAATGCTGGGTCCGAACCCAGAGCCGGGCTGAGGACTAGCAGCGCTGATGTAGTTCCCCACGGCTGAATCCTGGTTGCTAGGTCCGTACAGGTCAGCCACAGGCCCTGGACTGTTAGCGCCGGGGAAACCGCCGGGCCTCGACGGGTTGGTGCCTGCACACAAACACACGGAGGAGCGGAGCAGTTTAGGGAAACTCATCACCCCCCAGCACCACCCTTCATCGCTCTGACCCCCAGTGGACACATTTGAACTGACAGAACACATAACTGGATTCATTTGTTTGTGTCAAAAGGACTTATCTGCAGCTTGCATTGGATGTCTTGAAAGGTAGAATTCAGGCCTAATTTTTTTCTTGAAATAATGTTGAATCCAGTATGATTCTAATAGAATCTACATGCTGTGTGTCTACCGCACACAAACATTCGCTTTGCTTAATCATGCACAAAGAAAACAGGCTACATACTTCCATCATGCTAGTAAATTTGTAGGTTGCAGTGCTCTCATGCATAATGTGAGGGAGTACTTCTAAAATAACAATTTATACTTATTAAACTATAACATTATTAAGGCTATGCTCAAGATTTAAAGTTTCTCAGGAGAATTTTAAACATTTGATCATAGGTTGTGCTTCTTCTTCTGTTTAAAAAAAGCATGATATACGCAAAAAAATAAAAAAAATCACCTAAACGTTGCTAGCATCTCAAGTCTGTAAGAATAATTTCCAGTAAAACGTTTTAAAAAAAGGAGGCTTTTCGGACAGTAGAAGAAGGCAAGAAGGAGCAATATAAAAGACTGACCCGAGTTCGTTTAGAGGTTTGAACTTCGAGGGAGATAAAACAGAAATACTGTACAGAACTTACCACCTTTGCTCTGTGAATAAGAGCAACTCAGACTAATAAAATTTCTTTTGAAAATCCATATGCCCACTAAAGGCCAATAATACAGGCAATGCGAGGGGAAAAACAGGCAGGGAGAAAGAAAAATGTGGTGATCTCTTAACAGCAATCTCCTTTGCTGTCAGCTTCACATAACCCTCCGTCTCACCCTTATTCACACGCAGACTGAGACGGGGATGGGGAGGGGTAGAGAAAAAAGCCGTACAGCAGCATTAAAAAGAAAAATCTTCAGAGCACAAAAACAGCTCGATCTTGTGTATATAAGGGATGGCGAACCCTGCAATGCCTGAGAGGAGGTCTTTGTATAACACATTAAAAACCACATAGTGTGAGAGCAGTGCACTCAATGTTGCTGGTTGCAGGCAAACACAGTAAACTAGACTTGTCACCTTGTTTAATGTGTCGCTGCTCCATCTATCAAAGCTATATTAGAGAAGTTAACTCCGTTTAAAGGGAACGCCTTAGATATCCATTTATAGCACTCCGGGAAAATGAAGCCATCTCACTAAACACACATCTGGAAGTGTTGACACTGCTGTTTGACTGTAAAGACTTTAAACAGCGAGCAGCTACTGCTCTTATCTTGCCTGCACAGCCCCCAGTGGGTTGGCTTATTACATAATTAAGGATTTTTTTCAGTTGAAATGGCAATCCTCATTATCTGTAACTGGTGATTTTTATTGGAGTGCGGCATCCTCCTCACCCCCCTTAATATCCATATGCAACTGATTTTCATTTTACGACATAAAAAGCAGAAGATGCGCTGGCTGCGCATGTACAAAACAAAATCAAGTGAGACATGGGGCCGGATTTATTTATTTCATTCACAACAAATATAATCTCAGTGCACTTTACAAAAATAACAGATTGAATTTACTTAATGTATTAGCTTTCTGTATTTTAGACTGTTACTTGTGATAAAGCAACTTTAAAAATGCTAAAATGCTAAATGGTCTCTGTCTCCAAGACTGAAAACAATTTTCATACAAATAAGAATATTTCCATATAATATATACACTGTCTTCAATATCAGTTTTTCCTATTTTACTTAAAGCTACAGCCAAAATAAAGCATATTTTGTGAAACTAAATGTTTTACTTTATCAGGTTAGGCAAGAACAAACAATTTTTAAAAGGGTTTTATAAAGAAATGTGTGTGTTTTTTTTAGGCCCACTTTGTGAATGTCTACTGTTGTTTTTAAGCAATTCAGTCATTTTATAGATTTATGACATATGTCTCACTTTGTTCTGACAGTTGCGATGAAAAGATAAATGTGTGGTTAAAAAACTAATGGAAATCCTAAAAACACCTAAAAAAGTGAGCATTTTTCTTAAAGATTCTGCTGACCTCATAATTCTTTTTGTCAAAATTCATCCTAAAATAATTCAAAATTTTGACTCTTAACACACTCTTGGGATGTAAAACCAATTTAAGTACAGATGCACTAAGAAATTGCTAACGGCAAGACTCAGAAGATCTACAGCTTTATCAACCCTGATCAGCATCCAATTGGAAACTCAACACCCAGTGAGGAAGTTGCTACTGAGAGAAGAACACTCCATGTTACATTTCAGTATCAGGTAGATAGATGTATTTCAATTAAAGTCTAAGGAAGCACAGAAATGTGCTTGTGAAAAAACATAATTTCTCTGTACATATATGTCTGCTGTTAATTGAAAGAACAAGCCTTCAGCAGATAACAGGAAGGCGAAACAAATAACAGCAAAGTGGGAGTGTTTTGTTTTTGTCAGCCTCTGTCATGGAGCGCGATTAATCTGGAAATAAAAGTAGAAACCTCTCAGCATAAGGGTCTAAGTTTTTTTTAGGAATACACACAAACACTACTGTTTACAGTTAGCAATGCTGACCTTGCTAACCTTGTCCTTTAATACAGGACTCCAAAGACAACTTGTGTTAAATGATAACTAAGACAACTTAAAATGTTATCGCTTTCTCTGTTTTAAATTACCAGCAAAACCCCTTTTCACATGGAGGCTTCCAATTAGTAACACAAAAAAGTAAAAGAAAAATACTGCTAATAGTAAGAACCAGTGAAAACAATATCGACCGGTCACAGCGACACAAAACTGGAGATGTTCAATTAGCCAAAAACTCTTGGCGCATTTCTAAGTGGACAATAAAACATTTCAAATTAGCTGATGCCAGGTGAGTGACCAATCACAGCCAACTGATCTATGTAAAAAAAATAAATCCCTTTTTTTTCTTTTATCTTCTTAAAATTAAATCCAGATAGCATTATTGTCTCTAAATCTAACATGAGGCAAAAGTAAGGATAAAAAAAATCAGCTTATAAACACACGTATGTGAATGAGGGTTTAGTGCAATCTGACTCTGGACGGCCTGCCTCTGTAACAGCTGGGCATCCAGAGATTACAAGAAAATACAAACTGACAGATCTCACACATAGCACTGCTCCCTTGTTGGTTTTAAAGCAGATTACCTACCATAACCCGGGTTTTATTTTATTTTATTTTTATAGTTAATACTGAGATCAGTGAATCTCTCAGACCAAACATCCCAACTGCGGCGTTCAGGTCAACATCTTCTGCCGCACAAAGATGCTTCTTAAATACAGTGAGAATGCATTTGTAGTTGATGCAAAAGTGAAATTTAGTTTGAATTTTAAAAGTCTAAACATGACTACTTGTTGCTCTAAAACACATTTGAAATCCTTTTGATGAGATTCTTTGTCGTCTGCGTGCCATACTTTCCTTCCCTTAAATCTAACATCTTGCTTCTCAAAACAATCATAAAATGGGGGGAAATGACACAATGCAGCAAAGATCAAAGTGAGCACATAGAGTGGCTCTATTTATTATGCAAAAAAAAAAAAAATGTTTTCTGTTAAGTGTTCAATGTTTTACAAGCATCGCTGCCTAATAATGTGAGCAATCTCTCCCACACTTAGAAGTCTTAAGGGTTTCAAAGAAAAATGCCACTCACTCCTACCTTTACTCTCATCTTCGGCTGTTCAAAATTCATATAAACCTGAGCACTGCTAGAGAGGCCGCTGTACTCTCTGACATCATCAGTAATTACTTTGTTCACATGCAAATGAAGGATTACATTCTGTATGTGTCGGCCCCTTATGTGCAAGCAGGGGCTGGAGGGGGGAGGGGGAGAGGGGGGAAATCTCTGCAAAGAAACAACAAAATCTACATTTGAATTTGAAAAAAGAGGAAGAACATGCAATGCTAATTTGTCAGCAAGACGTTATTTTGTAATTTTTTTTTCCTTTAAAGGGGAATTTTTTTTTCTTTCGTCGACAAATGTGAAACAAATATATGTTTAAAAAGAAAAGACTTGATCATCTGCATGGAATAATGTCATGAATCAAACTGAAAAGTCCAAAATGTGGATGAGATAGATGCTCAGATACAAACCTGGGTTCTTAAACTGATCCGGGCTGTGTAGGTGCTGTAGGGGGGAGTTGCAGGCGGAGGTGGCATGCTCACTGTGCAGCATCTGAGCCGCCTGGGGCCCCAGGGAGCCATAGTCAGCAAAGGAGCAGGGCCCCCCCCTCTGGTCACTGGGCGCAGAATAAAACCCATAATCGGGGAGGCCTGGGAGATACAGTATAGGGGTGGGGAGGAGGGGGGAGGGGGAGGGGACTCCATCATTGTGGAAATCAACTTTTTTTCATTGTCAAAGTCAGCGTCCAAATTGCTAAGCATAACGTGCTGGAGTCTTACACCGTCGTCTGATTACATCTGTTTCAATTGGCCCTCCCCGCCCTCCCTCCCCAGCAGCTCCTGCCATGTGGCCGAACCCCTCTTCCCCTTCCTGCCCCTCACCCATCCCACCCGGCATATGGCTCTTATTTGAGATATGCAGCTGTGGTGTGAAAGCTAGCTCGGTAATTCGGCTGCATAAATTATCTAGCTGATTGAATGTCGTAGCAGGAACTCCTGGGTTTTCTGACTTCATTCAACTTTTATCAAACAGACTTCAGCTGAAACAGGCATTCAGGTGTACTGTAAAACAAGACCCCCTCACTGTTTGACATTAAATCATACTTTTCTGTTTTAGTTCATTTAAGATCATCAAAAATATTTTTGAAACTTTTTCGGTAACGCTTTATTTGTAGGGGTGTGCGTAACACTGACATGAGACTGTCATAAACATGACATAACACCAGCCATGAACATGAACGACTCTTCATTAATGTTTACGACTGTTCACCTGAAGTATCATTTGGTAAAAAAAATATGACACTTTTAATGCAAAGGTGCACTAAAAGTTGCATTAAAAGTGTAAGCTTTGAATTATTCAGCAAATTATGACTTTTATTACAAAGTTCCATTAAGACTCATTTAAAAGTGTCATTATTTACAGAATGACACTTCATGACAACAATCATAAGCATTCATGAAGACTCCTTCATGTTCACGATAGAAGCTATGTTATGTTCATGACAGTCTCATGTCACTCTGACGCTGACATGAGAATAAAATGTTACCACTTTTTCTTTAAATTTGGAAGTTTACATACATACATTTCTTTAAGCCGTATGACTTGCGAAAACATTATGGGTATTCTTCAGTAGTTTGCTTGAATTTTGGCTCAAATGGGTCAGGTTTGTAAGCTGCCTTTTATCTTTTACCTTTTCAGTTCTGCCCACCATTTTTCTATATTTGCCACTCCAAAGATCGACTTCTCTGTCTTTCAGCCACTTTAAAACTAAGGGCATTTTCACACCTATAGTTAATTTAATTTAGTCTGAATTGTTGAGTTTGTTAACATGCAACTTTTCTGGTTGGTTCGGTTTCTTTTCATACAGAGAAAACTCCAAATGCACCAAAACATGTCACTACAAACTAAGCTAGGACATTCAGTCTGTCTCCTGGTCTGATGTGTCCAAGTTGGGAGAACCAAGGAAGCATGAATTTATTCATGAGATTTTTTTTTCTCTATAATATTATATGGAAAATTATTTCAGAAATACAGTATTTTGAATAATTTTGAGAAACTGTTTTTATAGTTGCATAGGAATTTATGCAGTGTGAAAGAAAAACCCAAAACGTAGTACCATTGCTTACTGGATCATAATGCATTCCTGGCGAGGGATAGGTGCTGGTTGATGTGGGGTTGAGATCGGCTCACACTCACACCATAAACAAACCGATCTAGAGTTCATTCGGAACCAAATCGTTTGAGAGAACCGAAACAGAACTTGCTTTAAATGGACTACACTCTAATTTATTGGTCAGCTTAGGTTCATAGTCCGTTTACAAAACCCATCTGATCAGGGCTTATGTTAAGATGCTGCTTCAATATTCTCACTGGTGAAGTGTTTTCTTTACATGACATCGTCAAACAACGACAAGGAAACATATTTAAGGTTGTTGCCTTAAAATTAGGGTTGAGACTATAACATTTTAATTTACAGACGATAATTAATTTAAAAGTAACACATTTAAAGAATTGTGGAATTTAAACCCAAAAGCTTGATGAATTATTATTTAAGTGAGTAAATATCAGATATTGCAGCGCTAGTGGATGAGATGCGATCTACGTAATCCTCCCTCTCTCTTGTGTTTTGCTAGTAGAGGTAACCAAACAAAGAGACGTAAGAGCATCAAACTAGGCGTTTGCACACAGAAAACTTTAACTTTGACCTGAATGCAGCACAGGCTCCACAAAGCTGGAGCTGGAGATATATTTACTTAAAGCAGAAATAGATTTTAAGCAGTTTTTTAAAGCTGCTTAAAATACATCCACAGGGGGTTTTTATTTATCCCAAATGTTGCGAAATAACCAGAAGCTTACAAAGCTGTGACATTATGTGTGGCTTTTTCAAATTGTTTAAAGGCTTTACAATACAAGTGTGTGAATATTTCTGAATTTTAAGAAAGAAACAAAACTTTTCTCATTATTCTGAACCAAGTTTTGCAATCGGAAAAATAGAAAAAAAAATTGCTTTAATCCGATTAAATGTCAGGCAGTGAGCGGAGGAAAAAAACAACAAGATAATAAAATCTACAAGTGTTATATTTTAGGTCGGATCTATCCAAATGGACTGACAGAGGAGGGAGATAAAACCGGCAAATCGTTAAAAAAACACGTCAATACATTCCTCATTTCAAACGGTCAATTCTCAGTGACGTACCTGAAGGAAGGAAAACACATTGCGCTAATCAATAATCAATCCACGGCCTGCTTTCAGACCAGTAAAAACTGATAAGGTTTTTTTTTTAAATGTGAGTGAGACCCAGAGATGTTCATGTTTATTGATGATAAGCTTTCTGAAGTGTTTTAAGTACTCTAAGCATGCCTCAAATTGGCCTCTTCGAGCAGTTCTTTCTTTCACACAGATGGTGGATTATCAACAGTTTAGAAAATGCCTTCCTGCAATAAGTCCTGCTGACATTTATTGCTTGTTCTTTTAATCTGAGACAAGCTGCTCATATAAAGAGTGCAATTAAAAAAAAACCCTGCTCCTTCTAACACCTCTTTGATAACGGAGTTAATCTACTCAGGAGGGACTGAGATTGGTGACACAGGCTGGTCCGTGTTGGGTTTCCCCTGCTGTTTGTTTACGTGGATCTGTGTGTGTGTGTGTTTTTTTTTTTTATTTAGGTCCTGGAGCGAATAGCCATTCAAAACTACTTCACCTCTCCCCATTCAGAGTGAGACAGTCCACTTCTGCCAAATGGAATGTAAGCACCAGCCATGCTTCTCCCCGCCAATGCTTTTTAGCACTCTGATCTCACCACTTGTGGGCTGTCTGCCCACTCATCAAATTATAGGCTCCAAATAGGGCAGGCTTCCCACGTACGTCACATAATGCCTGACACATTGAACAAAGCTCAAGAAGCAATCATTCCATTTACTTCACTTAGACAAATGTCACTGAAAATTGATTGGCCTTGCTAATGAGTAAAGCTGGATCAATGGAATAATTACAACGGGGAAGAAACGTTCGACGATAGCACAAACCGTGTTTATTGGGGATCCGCGAGGAGGACGCTCCGCATATAGCACCGGCTCATAACCAAACAGTCGCTACTTTCACTCCGACTTATGTTTGCACTGAAGCCCTACACACATCTGCTTTCATTATTTCTATTTATTCTTTATTCTTTATTTAGACATACTTATTTTGTTTTGAAATGTTGCAACCGTGATGATAGCCTGACAACAACTTGTGCTGTGAGGAAGTAGATTTCTACGCTGGTTGGGAATCTGTGGCGATGGTCTGATGCCTGGTGGTTTCTCTGCCACTTTTCAACATCTCCTAAGGTGTGTAATCATCTCCCTGAAAACGTGTGTACGTGTCAGAGCCACCAAGTGAGTTCAAGACCACGGATATTTGAGTCAACAAGGGAGGGTTTTAGCTCCCATTTGATTTTGGGATGAGGACTAACTGGAGGCAAATACTTTTATACGCTGATGACACTTTCTTTTTTTTGTTTAGAGTGGAGTTCTACTTAAGTCAAGCTGTACACCTTTTTCAGAAAGTGTTCAGTCACTGTAGTACTCTCTGCTGAAACTACAGTAAGTTATTAGGTAACACTTTATTTGAAGGGGGTTGAATAAGACTGTCATGACACTGTCATAAACATGACATAACACCTGTCATGAACATGAATAAGCCTTCATGAATATTTATGACTGTTGTCATAAAGCGTCATTCGGTAAATTATGACACTTTTAATACAAAGTTGACATTATTCAAAATGTCTTTGTTATGACAACTTGACATTAACCAAGAAATCATTACTGTTTAAACTTTACCTTTAACATAAAGGTACCTGATTTTTAAAGTGCAATCAGTAATACTTTTATAACAAATTTATATCAGTAATGATTTCTTGGTCTTATTCACCCCCCTTCAAATAAAGTGTTACCAGTTATTATATCAAAGAAGACTAAATTTATCTCTTGCTAAGATTATTCTATTGTTACACTGGATGGAATCAGTTTAAAAAGTCACTTGATACAAATATTTAGAAATCCAGATGGGTGAAAAAATATTGTTGGATGTTGGTCATTTGTTTAAAGAGTTTAGACCTGAAAGGGTTTTCTCCACTGAATCCAGAAAATGGCTATCTGTGTTAAAATACTGTTAAATGTTCCCAGAGTGAATTTAGTAAAACTTCCTTCTTCAGTTTGGGTGTCTTTTTTTGTTTTCATTTTTGAAATTAACTTAGAAATAACAGGCTTTTGAGGTTCTTAAAAAATAGCAACATGTAACTGTTTTACTCAATCCTTTACTGTTAAGAGGTATGTTTCACATATTTAATATTTATTTCTATACTTGCTTTCTTTCTGAGTTTTTCTTCTCTTTAACTTTGCTGATGATGCTTCTACTTGAAAATGTTTTTGGGTTTTTTTGTTTTCTAAATGCCATCTTGATCAGGACCACGAGAAAAATAGAAGCTTTATTTCAAAAAGATCCTTCCTGGCTAAGTAAAGGCTCGAGTATCAGATATATTTGGCAGAAGCAAAACAGGGGGAAGTAGGGAAGTTAAAACAACTTCCACACACAAATAAACTCAACAACTTCTTGGAGCGCTGAAGGCAACACAGTGAGGATATCCAGACACATTTATAAATGACT